ATAAGCATCACTATTAATGAGGCCTGACCAATCTGACAAACCAAACATGTGTCCCAACACTACAACTGTTTCACATAGGCTCTTACTATAAATCATTGGTGAATAGCTGGTTAAAGGGTGGTGCAGGGGAGCAGCTGGACTTGTCTAAATATAGCAGTCATGCTGTTGTTGGACAGTGTGTAAATGCAGAGCATGCAGTTAGCATAGAGAGTCTATCAACAATACCCTCCGCCTGAGTCATCAGCATTTGAAGGCAAGGAAGTAACAGAATTTCGTGCATCTGAACCATAATACATGCCACTCTATCTTACTCACCTACCCAAACAACCACAGAACAACAGCATTAAACCTGACTACATGCTTTAGACTCACTATATTTTCCAATGACTTGAACATTTATTATCTACATTTTGTAGCCCGAGGCAGAACACTCCCTCTCCAGTGCAGTGACTACCCCTGCATCCCTTCATGGAAAACAAAGCAGAGATTATAAACAGGATTAATCATGACAGGGGACACTTAAACAAAGCAGGATTCAGCCAACTGAGCAGGTATTATCAGTGTTTATATGTCAGGGTGTTTTAACAGTTAGTAGCCTTCTGAAATTAAATGCTTAGACCAGAGAGAAGTGTGTGTGTGTGTGTAGAGAGATAATTGGTTAAACATGCAGTAAAAATAAAGATGAAATTCAGTGGCAATTTCAAAAGACAGAATGATGATGCCTGTGGGAATGGCCATTTCTCACAGTCCAACCAACTAGGTCAAGAGCTAACCTCATCAAAAGTGTTCAGAGTAATTGAGAGGTTTACTTTAGGCATCAGGAAAGCCATTTAAATCTGTCACATTAATTAAACACTAGGCAAATCAGAAATTTGTGGCGACCAGAAACTGCCTTAACATTTGTTGGCATTTTAACCCTACATTTTAAACTAGTATTAAAACACTTTTAGTAAAACTGCACAGAGGATGAGTGTGCTTACCTCGCTTTGTGTGCTCTTCAAATCACCCTCTAATGAATGTCATTGCAAATGTGTGACTTAGGCTACAGATAGGAGTCAATACCTCAGCACCCAGGCACCAAGGGAGCCAATACAAATCCACAGGGTGATGGATACAAATCCAATAATCAATGGGGGGGGGGCTGTTACTGTCGGTCTCACCCCCATCTATGCTGTTCAATAAGGGATCAGTGTGGGGGGGGACATGGTGTGGTTGGTACAGAGATACTTGACAAAAGTAAAGGGCAAGTGCCCCTTGCCAAATACTTTTCTCGCAAGATTTCCTGTGTGAACTTACATTGTTGATGTTATAGGTGAGCGGAATTCCCCAGCACGTGCATACACGCGCATGTGCACACACACACACCTGATCTGAGCTATAAAACAACAATTGAAAAACTGTGACCTATCGGCCAAAAAAAGGTTAATGCACAAAGTATTAGTATGACTGGCATGCATGGTTATAGATAGAATAAAGTGATTATACAGATGTTGCTCTAAAAAAAGACAAGCACAAGGTTAATTATCTTTATATAATTTTTGATTCAAGGTAATACACAATGGCATTCTCTTAGTTACTAATCTAATTACATTTTAATTCAATATGTGTCGGGACTCGTGACACAATGTTACACCTTTTGTCAGCCACTTTGACAGCCAAGATTACTTTACCCAGCATGCTTTTGGTTTAGGAAATATTCTGCCCTCCTGGGATTACAGAAATGACCTGAAAAGGACGTCAAAGGACTCTAATTGTGTACATTGTCTTTTATCTGAGAATCACAAAATCTGGCAATTTATGAACAAGCTAAAATCAAATTCAAGATCAAATGATTGTGTACAGAATGCAGTGTTTTTCTCCATAGGAATAAATGACTACAGTATGAATAGAGCTAGCTGGTCATTCTGAAAATGCATGTATCAAGCCTCCCATGGATTTTAGAAAATGGACTGTGGTGGTAAACAGACGATATGAAATGGTTAAGTCCTCGAGTCTCAAAGGAATTGGAGACCTACACAATAGACCACACCATATGCCATGTTGATATAACCAAGGCTACATCTCTCTCTGGTGGCAGACACATGGTACTGTTGATTCAATGAATCATTAGGAAGATCCCTTTACCCCCATACAGTACCTGTTTCAGACAGCATTCAGCATTAGTTTTAGTCATTAGTAATTTAGTAATTATAGTAGATCATTATAGTCATTCATAATGAATGCTTTGATTGAACATGGTAGAACTTTTACAAGAGACAGTCACAACTGTAAATAAACTTGTTTTCAGTACCTAAATTGCACATCAAGAGCCAGTTTAAACCCTACTGATAATCTCAATCTTTGCATGCCTTTCTTTCCTGTCAAAATAGTTAGCACAACCTAATAATGTAAAACCACTAGTTGTGTCCAAAAGCATCTACCCCAAGTTGTGCCATGTACTGTTGGAAACAAATATTTTAATAGCAGAAGCCTTTCAGTGTCTGAAAATAGGATATACTTGCAATTGAAAACAAGTTTGTCAATGATACACTAAATTATATAAATTTCATGAATAGTGTTGTGTGTAGCAGGATCTGCACAAACAGGAGGTTGGTGGCACCTTAGTTGGGGAGGACGGGCTCGTGGTAATGACTGGAGCGGAAAGAGTGGAATGGTATCAAATACATCAAACACATGGTTTCCAGGTGTTTGATGCCATTCCAACTACTCCGTTCCGGCCAATATGAGCCGTTCTCCCCTCAGCAGCCTCCTGTGACACACACTATTTACAAATGAGTAAAAAACCTAATAGAAAAAGAGTGCAATGGTATGGAACCCCTGCTGCTTCTTTCATTACAAACACACTGGTTGTCTTAGGCTGCGTTTATACAGGCAGCCCAATTCTGATATTTTTTCACTAATTGGTCTTTTGACCAATCAGATCAGCTCTGAAAAAGACCTGATGTGAAAAGACCTGATGTGATTGGTCAAGACCAATTAGTGGAAAAAATATCAGAATTGGGCTACCTGTGTAGACACAGCCTTACAGCACTTAATTATAATCTAATTTTACCTCACAATACAACCAGTGCATTTACTCACAGATCAATTCCCTTAGGTTGCCCTATTTGCATAAATGAATACAGTGGGTTCTAATATGCTGCCATGTGGGGATATACAAGTCTGAAAGAGAGTTGGTAAAATGCCTGCCTTATTTTGGGAACATAAATTAAGCCTGCTGGCTTCTGATAATGTCATTAAAATAAATAAAAAACATTTGTTGCTGTTAATGTATTTTTCATTGTTATTACTTCAATAATATGGTCATATTTTATGGAGATTATAATTATGAGGCAGTGGGCCTAAAGTGATCATGTTAGCTACAGTTCACACAATAATGAACCACCACTACCTCTGGCCTTCAGCAGGGGTGTTATCATACTTGTAGGTAACTGTACACCATCCAATGTATTCCTTTTGTCAAATTGAATGAACTATATCAAAAGTATCTACAAATAAATATTTTTTATACAAATGTGGTATACAATGGGACATTACAATCAATAAACTGGTTTATAGTGAAGTCTGATACCTAACTTCAGACTGTAAACTTGGGACAAAGTTTAATCCATACTACCCGTCACTGTGTCCCTCCCGTCTGGGTTAATATTTCTAACACAAAACTCTGAGTAACACATTTATGACAAGGGCATTTTTCAAAGGAGCCAAGACATTGGCTTGATCATCGAAGGACCTTTGTGCTCAGATGAGAGAAAAACAACATTTTCTTGCCAAACCCAGATGACGCTCTGAACTATAGCAGTATAGTACAAGGCCTTACATATGATGTCATATGAGATAACTTACACATACCGGAAATACATTAGTGTAATGCATATATTGTTGTTGTATTACTGTATTTGTGCTGCGACTCAGCTTCCCTTGACATATTCTCTGAAAATATTTGCTAGATGAATGTCTACCAAATGTTTTGCTTTACAGAGTGCAGAGTGAAGAGAGATTATTTCCCTTGCAAAGTGGCCCACAAATACCCAGCTGTTAAACTGAGGCCAGTGGCACAATGGCTAATAACTATTATATACCAATCATTCAATAAAATAACAATATAAACACAATATTCTTATGAATGAGATTCAAAGAGCTTTTGCCCTCAACATTATCATTCACAAAAAAAGAAATATATTCATAGTGATCACGTCCCATAATACAATGATCAGTAGCTTTAAGCATTGGGCTTCAGGATACACGGTCACTGGTTCGAAGTACTCATTGTGAGGTTGGGAGAGAGTGTAAATGTAATAAGAAAAGTGATAGATGAAAATTGATATTATACATAAAGTACTCCTTTATTTTAAGTGTCAGCAATAAAGTACATCAATTGATATCATAAAACGTAACTGCTTTCTCAGTACTCAGATTAAGTTAGACTGCATGTTAGAATGCATTATAATTAAGTTTTAGTTACAGCAGACAAAATGTCTCGCTTAAAATGTTCATAAAATATCAAATTATGAATTGCACTTAAAATATTTCTCAATCAATCTTATTGTTTCAATATAATATTTTTCATCAAAGCTATATATAGATTGTGTCTTACTGCACAATGTCTAGGCTTAAAAACATTCCATTTGGTGGCAAATTACATATCCATGGCTATTCTCTTGCCATTTGACGTCAGTTTCTAAAGTAGAAATGTTCAAACAGGGGTCAAACGGACAGATTCACAATATTACATTTACATTTTAGTCATTTAGCAGACGCTCTTATCCAGAGCGACTTACAGGAGCAATTAGGGTTAAGTGCCTTGCTCAAGGGCACATTTACGTCATTTAGCAGACGCTCTTATCCAGAGCGACTACAAATTGGTGCATTCACCCTATAGCCAGTGGGATAACCACTTTACAATTATACTTATTGTATTTTTTTTTTTTTGGGGGGGGGGGGAGGGGTAGAAGGATTACTTTATCCTATCCCAGGTGTTCCTTAAAGAGGTGGGGTTTCAAATGTCTCCGGAAGGTGGTGAGAAAGAAGGCTGCATCACAACACAGAAACAGTGACACACACTTGACATTCTAAACACTAATATTTCATATTGCTCTTTAAACCCATTTGTTTCAAGTAGTGTATACCTACGAAACACAGAACCCTTTCTACAACACCCTGCAGCGATGTAGGTCCCGTTAGTGTAAACATCTGGCCCTTGGCCATGTGCCCATGCCCACACTGTCCATCAGCAGGCCAGGGTTATGCCCCTGTCTCTGCCCTTGTCCCCACTCTTTCTGGGCCTTGCATGCTCTGTGCAGCCCGGGCCCCAGGGCCATGTTGGTGAGGTCCACCAGCTCACGGCGGTGGGACAGCATGGTCACCATGTGCTCCAGCTTGGAGCGGATGGTGGAGTAGTGATACTGACGCTCTTTGGTCAGCTTGCGGAAGCACTCCCTCAGGTTCCCATCGGGGGGTGCGGTACAGTGACGGATTGCAGGGCGACGGTCCACCCCATGGGGGGCGAAGTGCAGCCTGGGGGAGGTAGAGACAGAATCTGAGGAGGAGGCAGCTTCACTCTGGATGTTGTTGGTCTGGGTAGTGGTGGTGGTAATGGGAGTAACTGTAGCCTTGTTGGGGGAGAGGCGGTTAGTGTACTGAGTCAGATCGGTCTGCACTCCACTGTCCACCGCAAGGCAGCTGGTCTGGGTGGAGACATGGCAGCAGGTAGGGATGGGGGGTGTGACCAGCACATCCACTGCGACAGTGGCAGGATCACCTGTGGGCAGGCCCTGGGCAGCACTTCCAGACAGAATCTCGTGCATGTGTTGCTGCTCCATCCAGTCTTCCTCTATGGTGGAGGAGGCCGACACCAGGCTGCTCTTCCCAGTCTCCTCTCTGGGGGGCGGCACTGCCACAGCCTGGGCCTGGCTGGGTGTGCTGGCCAGACAGACAGGCTCGACTGGGGGTCTCTCTTTGGCCGGCTGAGGGGATGAGGTGACAGGGTGTTTGATGAGCAGGTGGTCGTAGATGCCACTGTTTCGGGCACTGGCTGGGCCCCTGGTAATAACAGGCATGGACTGGGCGTACAGAATGCGGAACTCCTCATCAAAGTTCTCAGTGATCTGGCCAGACAGCTCAATCATGTTGCTGCTGTTTAGTTTCCCATCAGTCCAATTGAACCTAAGAATGTAAGCAAAGGGCTTTACAGTTGTATACCGCATATCATATTATTATTATTATTATTATTATATTATCAGTCAAATAAGGATGGCAAAGTCACTTACAGTAGCTAGGTTCATACAAGGGGAATGTATTGAGTGTTTTATTGCTTTTTGCTCGGGGGTCTTGTAAAAAAAGAACAGGGACATTTTTCAATGCTATACTGTCTGTAATACTGTGGTAGTAAAGCAGGAAGTCTTTACCTGTAGGAGCCTGTAGCCACTCTGTTCCCATCAATCAACATGAACCGTTCATGAACCTTCCCAGTAATCTTGGCCCCTGACCTCATGAAGTATGTACCACCAGTTATGGTCCGCACTCGCATTTGCTTTGATGAAGAATGAAACAAAAACAGTATGAAATACAAGCCAGTCACTGGTCACTTATAAAATCCACTTTTTATCCAGAATGATCACGCTACTAAATCAGTAATAAAATATTGGCTTATCGGAGATAGGACATGACACAAAGGTGGAGTCATCACAACCACATACCCTAAGTTCGTCCAGGCGCACATTGATGTTGTTGCACATTTTGAGGAATGCGGGCACACAGGAGTGGTCCAGCAGGATGTAGACTGGAACTCTGCGCCGCGTGCACGCCTCCTGAAGATCCTTAAAGATGTCCAGGTCTGTCAGAGAGTCTGTCACTATGGCGATCACCTGTAATGGTAAATCAATCATTGGTTAGTCAAAGCATCATTGATATAGGCCCAGTTTACAATTTAAAAGAGGCTGCTCTTCTGCCTTACTATTTGTGAGGCAGGGTCACTCTAAACGGGCTCTTATGCATGCTTGTGCCCACAAACCAGGTCTTAATCAAACATTAAGGAGAAAACACTGAGCCGGCTCCTCTATTGGCCACACTCTCTCAGTCATGTGTATTTAGATGAGCCTCCCTCGCAGTCAACTGTGGTCTGTTGCCATGACAGGGACAATCAGGCTCAATGTGGGGTGATTTAATATTTCCTGCCTATGTCTGACATCTTCTTCAGCAGCAGGCTAGAAATTATTTGCATTGATGTTAGGTTTCCTTGATAAAACAGTATTTTCTAGTACCCTCTCAAGGATAATAACTCAATAGCTTACAGATCAAGAGCCATTTGGGGCATTTCCTAAATTGTTAATCTCAGACTGATACTGAGCAACTATAAGGCCAAAGGTGAAGCATTAAGAAAAGTGCACACTAACACTATTCCATGTGAAAAGCATGTTCAGACACATTCATTAATGTACTATTACTGTAGGCGCTCCTCTGAACCAGCCTTGGAGTTGAGGCTTTTCCTCATTCTCTCCCATTCTGGAACGCTAACTCATGAGTATGGTAAGGAAACTGCATTAAACTGACAGTTCCCAACATGTCCAGAAATGTGTTGAGTTTGAACATGTGACTAACAGGTGTCTTTCTTTCCCCTGACCTTTCAAGTATCTAGTGCTCCTCAAATTGGGTGATAGACTATTCATCTGTGAATTATAAGAAAATGCAACAATGCTTTAAATATTAGTATTGAGAAGAGCATCAAACAGTATAAAGGTTAATCCAGACTTCACAAAGATGTACAGTGCATTCTGCAAGTATTCAGACCGCTTCCCCTTTTCCACATTTTGTTACTGCCTTATTCTAAAATGGATTAAATATTTTTTCCCCCCTCAATCTACACACAATACCCCATAATGACGAAGTGAAAAGATGGCCACTCTTCCTAGAGCTGGCCGCCCGGCCAAACTGAGCAATCGGGGAAGAAAGACCTTGGTCAGGGAGGTGACCAAGAACCCGATGGTCACTCTGACAGAGCTCTAGAGTTCCTCTGTGGAAATGGGAGAACCTTCCAGAAGGACAACCATCTCTGCAGCACTCCACCAATCAGGCCTTAACAGTGCCGTCGGAAAGTATTCAGACCCTTTGACTTTTTCCACATTTTCTCATCAATCTACACACAATACCCCATAATAACAAAGCAAAAACAGGTTGATGTAATTTTTTACAAATGTATTAAAAATAAAAAACAGAAATACCTTATTTACATAAGTATTCAGACCCTTTGCTATGACTCAAAATTGAGCTCCGATGCATCCTGTTTCCATTGATCATCCTTGAGATGTTTCTACAACTTGATTGGAGTCCACCTGTGTTAAATTCAATTGATTGGACATGATTTGGAAAGGCACACACCTGTCTATATAAGGTCCCACAGTTGACAGTGCATGTCAGAGCAAAAACCAAGCCATGAGGTCGAAGGAATTGTCCGTAGAGCTCCGAGACAGGATTGTGTCGAGCCACAGATCTGGGGAAGGGTACCAAAACATTTCTGCAGCATTGAAGATCCCCAAGAACACAGTGGCCTCCATCATTCTTAAAATGGAAGTCGTTTGGAACCACCAAGACTCTTCCTAGAGCTGGCCGCCCAGCCAAACTGAGCAATCGGGGGAGAAGGGCCTTGGTCAGGGAGGTGAACAAGAACCCGATGGTCACTGACAGATCTCTAGAGTTCCTCTGTGGAGATGGGAGAACCTTCCAGAAGGACAACAATCTCTGCAGCACTCCACCAATCAGGCCTTTATGGTAGCGTGGCCAGACGGAAGCCACTCCTCAGTAAAAGGCACATGACAGGCCGCTTGGAGTTTGCCAAAAGGCACCTAAATGACTCTCAGATCATGAGAAACCAAGATGATGAAACCAAGATTGAACTCTTTGGTCTGAATGCCAAGTGTCACGTCTGGAGGAAACCTGGCACCATCCCTACGGTGAAGCGTGGTGGTGGCAGCATCATGCTGTGGGGATGTTTTTCAGCAGCAGGGACTGGGAGACTAATCAGGATTGAGGGAAAGATGAACGGAGCAAAGTACAGAGAGATCCTTGATGAAAACCTGCTGCAGAGTGCTCAGGACCTCAGACTGGGGCGAAGGTTCACCTTCCAACAGGACAACGTCCCTAAGCACACAGCCAAGACAGCGCAGGAGTGGCTTCGGGACAAGTCTCTGAATGTCCTTGAGTGGCCCAGCCAGAGCCCGGACTTGAACCTGATCGAACATCTCTGGAGAGACCTGAAAATAGCTGTGCAGCATCGCTCCCCATCCAACTTGACAGAGCTTGAGAGGATCTGTAGGGAAGAATGGGAGAAACTCCCCAAATACAGGTGTGCCAAGCTTGTAGTGTCATACCCAAGAAGACTTGAGGCTCTAATCGCTGCCAAAGGTGCTTCAACAAAGTACTAAGTAAAGGGTCTGAGTACTTATGTAAATGTGATGATTTTTTTTATACATTTCAAAAAATGTATAAAAACCTGTTTTTGCTTTGTCGTTATGGGGTATTGTGTGTAGATTGATGAGGGGAAAAAACAATTTCATCAATTTTAGAATAAGGCTGTAACATAACAAAATGTGTAAAAAGTCAAGGGGTCTGAATACTTTCCGAATGCACTGTATATAGGCCTAGTATACCAGTCAATCAGTGAGTGAGTGGATGCTTTGAATGATCACGTTTGAGTAAACAGACAAACCCAGGGTCAGGAGCCGATTGACTGACTAACTAAAATCAAACAATCTATACGTGGCTGGTATGGTTTGAATTTTACATCGGAGGTGTACAAAATTTAGTAAAATATAAAATTGAGTAAAATACAAAATGTGTCTTTCCATAGGCTTTAGGCCTAGTCCTGAAACAATCTGTATAAAAAATAAATTAAAAAAAAACATAAACCATTTACTTGATTTTAGTCGGCCAACCTTGGTGACCATTTTAGTGTTTTGTTAATGTATTACCTCCTTGGCACTTTGAATCATTTTTCTCGCAGCTTCCTTGCAACTATAGATGCATTCTCCATAACTGGGTTGGAAGTGGGCGACAGCACGAGTGACTCCTCGGTAAGAGCCCGATGTAAAGGCGGGCCAGCCGATTTCCAACAGCGGTGGCTCCACGTCCGAGACCTCGGGGAAGTAAGTTACAGAGGAGCAGTCCATGGAGCTGTTTACAGACTGTTCAAAATTCACGTCCTCTGCGTGGAGGGACACACAGCGTGGAACCACTGCAGCACTGCCAATGCGTCTGATCTCGTCATCGGAGAGAAAGTTCGGAATTCTCTCTTTTCTTAGAAATCCCAAAAAAGAATCAACTCCACCTGAAATAAGTTCCTCTAACGCCAGTCGGTGCCTTTCGTTGTACAACTCCTTTACATTCAAATCATTTCCCTGCCGTCTTGACGGCCACCTTACAGGTGAATCTTCCAAACATTGCGATAGAGCCATAACGTTAGGTAGACTATTTAGAGTCGACAGTAACCATTCAATTCAGTAGCCCTCCGATACGCGTGATATAATGTAGCCTTGCCAGAAGAAGCACATTTGTATTTTGTGATTCACTCAGTTCCAGCCCATCCGTAGTCGGCATTGGCTACTCGAAGGTTGTCGAACCAGAATATTGTACACAAGCCTGCGCTTTAGACCTGTCACTCTGCTATAAGCGCTCGCTCATTGGCCAGCAGTTTGAATTTGGAGGCAAACAAACCCTATCCAGTATCCACTCTCAAGTAACGACCTCAAATGCCCGGACTAGCCTATTGTAGGCCTACTGTACATTTTGACACTACGAAGAATCAAGGAAGGCCTATAGGTAGGCCTGCCCTAAAGTAGGCTATATCATATGATGATAAAACTAAGCACAAGACTAATCGTCTGACCTGTGACATTTACGTCCCTAATATTTAAATGTTTTACCACAAGTCTATATCCAAGGAGTAAGACCATGAACTTCTAATCTAGTCTAATTGGCTGATTTATCATGACATTGATTCCTAATATTAAAAAATAACACCAGCCCAGCATGTGTTTTAAAGTGATTGATAAGGTCCATGTATTCCTGAATTGAATTCAAAAGATGACACATATTGTTGTTGGCAATCAAAATAATAATTATCTCCTGGAAATGCAAATGATGGACTCAATGTCCCCATATTGCCACATATGGTGCATTCTTTTTACGCAGACGTACTGTATAACCAACCAAAGAGTAAGAGCCTTTGGTATACCTTATTTGTTTAATGGACCAGTGAAGCTAGCTAGCTATGACCTCAGATGGATTGTCCCTCTGTGAATCTGGAGTCAGTAAAGCTGGAAAATGTAAATAGAAATAGGATATGGCGCGTCGGCACGACATATTTGTGGCATGAGCTATCCACCCCTTTACGCGCACTATTCATTACGCTGAGCAGGCCTTGTTGATATTCAGGGACAATCTCTCACTCTCCAACGTTCCTGTGACGAGACGCCAAAACATGCGTTAAATTGGCAAACCAGAGTTACCTAATTATTATGTAGCCTATAGGTTTTCATTAGGCTAGACTGTTTTCATTATGTGGCAGGTAAGACCTTTTCTGATAGGACAGGACGTCAAAATGATTAAGCCTCCTGTCAAAATGATTAAGCCACATCTTCGGCAAATGCTCAAATACACTCTTCAGTTTTCAATAGGCATAGGTTAAGACTGTTCAAAACTCTGACCGACCGTGGTTCGTGTCCAACACTTTCGCTTCGTTCAGAGCCTATCTCTATACATTCACTGTCCAACCCCCGCCCCTCTCCAAAATGTAGATGAAAGGGTTTAGGATGTTGGGTGACGCTCTGAATCACGTGTTCATAGGAAATACACTCCGTATAATTTTTGGCTACCTCGTCCTGCCGCGGACCATAGTTGTTTTCTGTCCATACAGTGTGCGAGGAGAGGTAATGTACCTTGCTGTGGTCATTGTCGGACGGGTTCACGCCAGTTTACCGGGTTCAACTGAGGAGAGGACCCACAACCCTCCTCTCAAAGCGCAACGAACGGAGCTAATCTAATATTATTAATTTCTATATTAATGTCGGATTCCATTTTACCCCTGACCAACTATCAAGGTAAGGCCACTTTCCTTGTAGCCTACAATATAATAACTCGAATTATATTATGTATAATCCCAGATTGTTTACTCCAATTCTGGCTATTGAATTTGATCTGGTGCTGTAGTCTAGGCAGTATATATGAAGTCGCCAATATATAAAATGGCGACAGTAGGTGGGGGGTGCCGAGTTAGGATTTTGGGGAATATGTTTCATTCTACAGTATGAGTTGAAGATAGTCGCAAATAGCCTAAGCACCGAGCCAATGTTTGCCAACAGGCTACTGGAGTGAAAGGGTTAACTTGAGTTTTTGTTACAGTTTCAAGAATGTAGCCTACACAACGTTGTACTTGCCCTCTCGCACGCTACAATGTGACGTTTCTGATTAATTTATTGCACAACGCTGAATATTTCCTCCTACTTTTTGAGCGAGTCAGTGGTGAATAGTTCACTATCCAAGTTCTAAGGACTTTTTATATAACGAATACATACTCTTATTGGATATGATGTCTGGTAGTGTAATTTAGACGACCCAGATGTCCGGCTCGATTCTCTACCCAAAATGTCCTCCTTTTTAATCTATGAATTTTAAAGCGACGTTAATCCTTCGTTTCAATTCTTCAGTAGGCTAATGTATGATGTTTCATTGCAGACATTATTGGTTTAGCCTATGTATTGAACAATTGTTTTGTTTTCCCTCCTATGTTACCGATTTGCGTTGATGCTTAGAGCTTGGCAATGAACTGCATTTTGGGAGCTGTCATCTTGTTTTGATCTGTCTTTTTTAATGTATGTCAAACTGTCAGAATATTGCACACTGTAAACTCTTCCTCACGACTCCCATCTCACTTAAACAGACAGAACACGCACATTATTCATGTTTAGCCAATTAATTGACACTGTAAAATAACATTTTGTGTTGTCTGTTAGCTGGCCATCATGCCTGTGACACAGCAGGCATTCAGGAGGAACCCCAGTGCTGACTAATATTACCTCATCCACTGCTGATGTCCATACACATTATATTGGACCATAACATGGTATCCTACCTCTTGAATGAGCAGCACAAAATATTAATCCAGAAACTATTGGTTTAAATATTCAACCTTCTAATCAGGGGAAATATGTGAGTGATTCATACACATGCAATGAGCCAGAGGCATCGTGCCCATTGGAATTGAAGGAGCACGTCATGCTACCAGTGGTATATGAAATATAATTTAAGGTTATTAAACTAGAATGAATATGCAGACACCTAATTTTACCGTTAGTGCCCCCTCAAAATACATAGATGGATGAAGTCCGTAAAAGAGCCTTATTCTGCTCCAATGCTTGGCAGACGTCTCATTACTGACTAATACAAAGCTAGACAAGCTAGCTGCCACAGCTTGGCTCCTCTGGGCTAGCTAGGTTCAGCCTGGTCCAGTGAGTGTGTCTGTGTAGAGGGTTGCACTCTTCTAGGCGGTTACACTGGGAGAATGTAAATTCCCTTTGTGGATCCCTGGGAACGTTCTTCCATCTCTCTTCTCAGAAATGTTGTAATGAGGCCAGGCATATTGCCTTTAATCCTGACTCCCTACAATTAGGGACGGCTCACAATTTTGGTTATGGCCATAACAGAGAGTGTTTGTATACACAGACACAGTGTAATGGGCAGAGAGTGCCCACCCCACTCTACAAAAAACATCCTTGGATGCCACTCCTTAGTTACTGTACGAATATACCGCTTTGAGGATTATATGTTCTGATGTCTATCGACACCAGTCAGATAATATTTTCACGTCTGTGTCCTAGGTTTCACTGTGCTGTATAGTCATTGCCAGAGCACACTCAAGGAGGTCATATGGTCGTGATTTGCAGTTTTAGCTGACATCGAGTGTATAACATTCCTCATGTTCAGAGAGGAAAATAAGCTATCTAATGCCAACCAGATCTATTTCCCAGCAGTTCTGTACAAACAACCAAATTCATGATAACAGCATACTTCCCCCTCCTCACAAAAATAGTCCCATAAGCATACTACTTACAGAGCTTTGTTAGTCTGAAAGTCTACACCACTCTGTATGGGTTTGGTCTTATTCTCCCCTTTTCATCGTATGGTATTGCTTTTGTCTTAGGAGTATCGAGGCACAAAGCGACCGAAAGCCTCCCTGAGACAGCATGTTTGCTCAGTTCCAACCAAAAGAAACTTCTCTGCACTCGTGGTAGAAAAAAACTGGAGGCTAGAGAGGGGAGAGAGCCCCTGCCACTTTATCTGTCCCGTACAATAAAGGTTTGGTCAGCAGGAGCTGGCATTTGCCAAGCTCTGGCAGTTACAAGAGGCTGTGATGTCAGCCATTTTAGGTTGGACAGGACAATGCGCGATACGCCGCCATTTTTCTTCCTTTTTCTTTTTAAGTTGCCAAATCAATGGCCTGGAGTCCCAGATACAGAACTGAAGGAAAGTTATTCATAAAAAAACACAGAAATAGGCTCCCATTACTCAGGATTCTTTCACACATTTTTGGTCCGTCATTCAGCCAGGCCATAGAGGAAGGCTTTGGTGAACAATATAAGATTGTGATGGATGACATGAAAATGCATTTGAGCAGAACAAGAGATGCTTTGGCAGTGTACATTATACTGTATTACAATACCTCAGTCCTCAGACCTTCTCTGTGCCAATTTTACAAGACAACACTGACAGGATGTCCTTTGCAATGTATATATCCCTTGTTTCTCTTTTATGAGAGGACTGTCACAAACACTTAATCAGTAGAGTGGACTGTGCAGTGGAGCAGGTATGTCTGTATTGTCATTGTGAGGTGTCTTTACCAATGACCCACCCAACCCCAATGGTCCGGAACAGCTAAGCCAAGACTGGCCTTTTCAAAGATGGCACAGCAGGAGGATTAACTTTGTCCTTTGCCTGGCATATAAGGTGGTCATTTATATGTGTGTGTGTGTGTGTGTGTGTGTGTGTGTGTGTGTGTGTGTGTGTGCGTGCATGCGTCTGGATGCGTGGTGGGTGTAGACTCCTCTGTGTGTGGTGTGGTGGGCAAGGAGAAGAGAGGGGTTGCTATGGCAATGTTAACACATGAGTGGCACCGCCGACTGGTCTCCCAGCGGACCGGGCTGCAGTCATGGAGGTAAGGGGGTGAGGAGGAGACGACTGACAACACCTGCGTCTCTCAGCAGGCATTCACACGTTCACACACACTTACTCACATACTGGTACACACATAAATACATAGAACAGACACACACACACACACACACACACACACCCTGAAGACACAGTCAAACACAGAATTGAGGGGCATACAAACAAGCAGATACTGAAGACAGATCCACTGTATTAACACAGGGTTAACCACTTACATCCTTGGTAATTCATGTGGATATTATGGACATACAAACACTAACCCATTAGAATACACTTGAATTATGATGTGCCAACTAAGTCGCAGC